CCCGACCCCCAGACGCTCCCCTACCATTTCTCCCACTGGTCTTCCAGCCAGCTCTCCTCCTCGGTGCTCGACTCCATTTTCAAGGGCAGCTGCATTGAGGAGGACCCCCTCCCCCCTTCCTTGGGGGACACGCTCCCACCCCAAAAAAAAAAGACCCCCCGTGCCCGGGGGTGAGGGAGATGATGGCTGAAGCCCCAGGCACCCGCTTGCCCCGGCGCAGTCTGTGGCTGCTCTGCCTCCTCACTGCGCAACCTGGGGAAGCTCATTAAAAATAGATGGAATCAGCTGTCCTGGAGGGGAAAAAAGAAAAAAAAATAAAAAAATAAAAAAATAACTCCCCAGCTGAGCCAGTGCCAAGTCCCTGCACTCTGCCGGGGATGCTGACTGCCTCCTCCTGCCAGCCAGCCAGCCAGCCAACCCGGCTCCTGGTCCCGCTCCAGCACCCGCTCCCCGGCACCCGCAGCAGGCACAGGGGATCTGCTTACCCTGGCAGGGATGCCCACACCACCTGGCCTCCTTCTCCTGCCCTTGCAGCATCGCTGGCCGGGCCAGGGAGCAGGGGTTCTGCCCTGCCACGGCCATGGGATCCCTTCCTGCGGGAGATGGGAGCATTCCTCCAGCCCCTTGCCAGGTAGAGTGGGGACGGGTCATGGATGGAAAGGCCAGAGCATTTCCAGAAGAGCAGGATGGGCATCCCGGGTGAAGGGAAGCAGGAGGAGCACCTTTGCCAAGGGGCAAGCCCAGCTGGCAGAGAGCAGTCCCTTCCCTGCCTGCCCCCACCTAACACCCAACCTCAGGGAGGGCTCTCCTTGAGCTTCCCCAGCCTTTAACCCCTCTTGGGGGACAGAGAAATACCTGGTGAGCTGCTCTGCCACCTCCTACACCTCTTCTGCTGGCCTCAAACAATCCTCCATCCCCCCTCCATGCCTCTTGGAGCCACCCTGTGTGCCGCAGCCCCCAAGCTTCCACGGAGCTGCTCATCCCTCACCCCATCAGGATGGAGCCAAAGCAGCCCTGGGACAGAGGAGCCCACCCCCTTTTCGAGGTGGGGACAGGGCATTCCCCTCCCCACCACCCGCACACATCCTGCTCTGCGGGGCTGCCCTCCTGGGGGAGGAGATGGGGGCATCTCCCACCCCCCTGATGGGTGCTGCTGGCTCCTTGGGACCCAGCTTTGTCCCTGGCCAGGTGAAAGTGGGTGATGTCCACAGGAGACCAGCCCACCGGGTGGCCTGGAGCACCTTGCTGAGCCAACCTGTCACCGGCTCTCACCCCACTAGTGCCACGCCACCGGCGGATGTCACTCATGGCACTGTGTGTCTTGTCTCTCAGATCCTCCAGAACGGTATCCAGGGCTCCATTTTCCCTATCAGCTCTGCCTGGAGGCACCTCGTCTGCTTGCAACATCCTCGCTTCATGCCATGAATGAAGAAATCTCTGTCTCCGTATTACTTCTGCCCTTTTCTCCTCTCACATGGATGCTCCAGGACTTCCTAGGAGATACAAGCAAGGCTCTCCGCCGTACCCCCCGGCTCTCTGGGCTGGAAACACCCCTGCCTTTCTCTCTTGCTTCTCAAAGAGGCTAAAAATACCAGCAAAACGAAACAGCTCTCACTCCCCCCAGCTCCGTCACTGGCGGTAAGTCTGAGCAGGACCTACACAAGTATTTTGGCCAACTTCCCTCCCCGGTGGCAGCAGAGGAGGTCCAGGTAGGTAGGAGGTTGTCCCCTCTGGTTTCAAGGTTGGGTTGAGCCCCGTATCTGCAGAGGTTACGGGCTTGAAGGACGTGCCAAGAGGCACCCAGAGGCTCGCAGCCCTGCTGGATGCAGGAGAACTGATAAACTCAGGACATCCAGGAGCTCTGTGTGCGTGGGTGAGCAGAGGCAGTCAGGACCTGCCCTTAGCAGCCTGATTGCAGTCCTAATAGCAGCCCTATAAATCAAGCCTGGCTGCTCCCTTGACTCCATCCCCTGCCAGGGAAAAAGGGACTTATGGCATCACCTCCATGACCCGCTGCCACCACCGCACAGGATATCCCATGCAGGGACTTGGCCAGGGCACCACAGCACGATGGAGCTGGAGGCTCCAACCCACCCTGATACTCTGCTCCCAGGCAGAGCCGAGCAGAACCCCCATAACCAGCCACAGTGGGAAAGAAAAAGCACTATCCTCCACGTGGGCTGGCCCTGGATTTTTAACTCCCATTGCGAGAGCCGTAGAGACTCTTGCATTTGAATTGAGAAGGCACCTCATCTCCATCAGCAGACAGCCCTTCTGGCTCTCCTCACACCAAGACAGGTAACCCCACCCCAAAGCCCAGCTCATCGCCTCCAAACAGGCTCTCCTGACGGCTCCAGATGTGCACGGCAGGCACCTAAAACAACCCATAGCACTAGGATTGATTTTTGCCTCAGCCTGAAGGTGCTTCTTTGAACTTCCTGAGGAGGTGGAGAGGTCTCCTTCCCCCCAGAGACCTCCCCCCCACCTCCCTCCTCAAGGAGCAGGGCAGTTCCCCTTCTCTCCTGACCCATGAAATAACCCCCTAAGGGTTTCCTTCCCTAGGAGCCTTCCTGCCCCAGCAGCTTGGTGGACGCTCTTTGCTTTTCTTAGAGAATCCAAATGGAGATAGAGGAGATCAGTCACCGACCCCCCCCAGGTCCCAGCTACATCAGCGGGGCAGGCACAGTGGTGAGCACTGCGGGGTCTCGTGCCCAGCTGCACCCCAGATGTGCCAGCCCTCCCTGCCCTCCTTATACTGGGCAGAGGGTCCCCCAGCCCAAGAGAGGCCCCAGAGAGCCCCTCACAGGAGAGCTTGGCCTGAAGCGATGGTGAAGCTTCTTGGCCAAGTAAGGAGCTGCAACAGGGTGTCCCAGAGAAAGATGCTAAGGACCCCCAAGGAGGGGGGTTGCAGCCCTGACTGTGAGGCTTTGGGACATTTAAGGACAATGAGGAGGCTGGATAAGAACAACTTTTTAATTGCTGTCTCCTAAAATGTTTTTGTTCTTGTCACGGTGAGTAGCCACCTCTGGAGGTCCTCCTGGCTACAGGAGGGCTGACCTCACCATCCTTTCCCCCCCTCTTCTCAGAAAACACTAAACCATCACTGGCCAGGAGGACCTGCCAGACCACCATCCCTGACTTCTTCAGAGCTTCAGAGCCCAGCTCATCAGGCCGCTTGCTGGTCAGGACCAAGTCCTCTCTTGATGCAAGCCACCCGATCACTTAACACATGAGCGTGTGTGTTGCTGCTCGGGGAGCTGGAGGAGAGGGGTCCAGAGGGCAGAAAAGCCAAAACGCCTTGTGCAGGGGGCAGAAAGCTGGGGCTGGGGGGAGGACTCCCCCAGGCCCTCACCACCAGCTGCAGGCTGGTCCCTCACCCTGAGCCATACTCATCGCTGCCTGCTCCAGCTCGGCCACGGGGGATGGCACAACCCAAGCTACACTCACTGGCCAGGAGGACCTGCCAGACCACCATCCCTGACTTCTTCAGAGCTTCAGAGCCCAGCTCATCAGGCCGCTTGCTGGTCAGGACCAAGTCCTCTCTTGATTCAAGCCACCCGATCACTTAACACATGAGCGTGTGTGTTGCTGCTCGGGGAGCTGGAGGAGAGGGGTCCAGAGGGCAGAAAAGCCAAAACGCCTTGTGCAGGGGGCAGAAAGCTGGGGCTGGGGGGAGGACTCCCCCAGGCCCTCACCACCAGCTGCAGGCTGGTCCCTCACCCTGAGCCATACTCATCGCTGCCTGCTCCAGCTCGGCCACGGGGGATGGCACAACCCAAGCTACACCACATAACCCAGCTCACAAACGTGTCACAAGCACACCCTCTGCTCCCTGCCACGTCACCTTTGGTCTGCCAGACCTTGCCCCAGCCTCGGGGACATCACCAGCATCTCCTTCCTCTCCAAGGCTCGCACCCTGAGCTCAGCACCCAAGGAAGACCTCAATGGACATCACTGGCACCTCCTCCCACTCCAAGGCTCGCACCCTGAACTCAGCACCCAAGGAAGACCTCAATGGACATCACTGGCACCTCCTCCCACTCCAAGGCTCGCACCCTGAACTCAGCACCCAAGGAAGACCTCAATGGACATCACCAGCATCTCCTTCCACCCCAAGGCTTGCACCCCGAGCTCAGCATCCAAGGAAGACCTCAGGGGACATCACCAGCATTTCCTTCCACTCCAAGGCTCGCACCCCGAGCTCAGCACCCAAGGAAGACCTCATGCTCCTGCCCTGACTCCCCAGCTCTGCCCAGCACAGCCACCCCCATGGAGGCCAGTTCTTCCCCGGGGCAGGCTGCCACCACGCTGGGCTCCCTTTCCGAAGGTCTGAGGCGCAGCAGGAAGCAGCACCTCCTCCTCTCTCCCTGGGCATCGCTGTTTGCTGGGGAGCAGGCGGGTGCCCAGGGGACAGCCACAGCAGCGGGTGGTGAGCCCGACCCTCTCACTGGCCTGGAGCTGCTCGGCAGCTCAGCCTCCGGCCCCCAGCTCGGTGGCCAAGCCTCTTCTCCACGGTGGACATTTCCAGAGGCAGCAATTGAAGGGCTGGATTTGCAGGGTTTACCCAGCCATGTTGCAACAGCAGCTCTCGCAGGCAGCGCCGCAATAGCAGGCGGCTGCCAACGCCACGGGGGCCACCTGGCAAAGGGGCTCCTGGAGCCAAGGAGCCCTCCGGGGGTAGGTTGAACATCACCCCAACACCACCACAGCTCCACTGCACCTACCTGCATCCCCCCAGGGGCCCGCTGCTCCCCAACCATCAGGGGCTGGAGCTTGCCAGATAGCCACAAGGGTAGCCGTGACCCCCAGTGTGGACACCCCCCCCCAAAAAAATCTCAGCTGGTACGGATCCCCCCTTCTCAGCCAGCACCCCTGGGTGCCAGAGGTAAGCAGAGAGCAATGGCTGACGGTGGCACAGCCACCACACACAGCGAGCCTCCCCCGTATGACAAGCCACCAATGCCAGGCACCCCACCCGTGGGCAGAAGCAGAGGACCCTTACCCACCCAGAGCATCCCCACCCCAGAGACACCCTCGGGAGGCTCCAAAAGCCATCCCTCCCCATCTTTAAGTCCCTGTGGGTCACCACCTCCGGCCGTCCATGGCCTGGCCCGGCCCTTGCCATGGGAAGTCCCCGGGAGCAGCCTGGCTGGGTTTGGGAGGAGGGACAGCCCCCCGCGTCCAAATCGATGGGAGCGCTGGGTACGGCTGAGAGGATCAATCCTGGCACTCTCCCACCTTCCCACTCGG